AAAAAAAAAAAAAAATTACTCACTTCAGCCTCCGCTTCTATCTTGTCCTCTTTCACCATTTTTTCTACCATTCTCTCAGCAAGGGGCAGAAACATAGTTTTTGAAAGATTTTCATCCTGTGCTGATATAGACTAAAGGAGAAAAATTAATGTCTTCTAATTTCTCTGTACTTTGCACTATTCGTTTCATGTAGACCATCAGTAACTTCAGCACATTAATCAACAACCCACTGTTAAATATCAGACCTAATTTGAACTTGCCAAGAAGAGACATTAGAGTGGCTGCCTTATAAGAGATTACTGAAGATTCAGTACATTTTGTATTCTTGAAATACTGTTCATTAAATGACCTAACTTTAAATTCTTTTTTCGTAAAAGTATATTAAGAGGAGGACTGCATATATTGTTTGTTGTGTCATCAGGTATTCAAAAGCTTCCCATTTCTTTTTGAGATTTCAGGCACTAGAAGGAAAATGTCAATTCCTTCCATTTTTATAGCTACAATGCCCTTAAATTGATCTTTAATATCAATGTATCTTATCAACAACTTTAGCACTGTCAGATTCTGCACAGTTCATTTATGCTGCAGACCTTTCAAAGTACCTTTTATGTTTGTCTTATAAATAAACTAAGGTTAAAAGAATCCTTATCAGGGGCCTGCCTGGTGGCACAGGGGTTAAAGTCACAATTCTATCAAGTTATGGAAGCCACTGCAGCTTGAGTTCAATCCCCGGATCCGCGGCGTGACCCACAGGGCACGGCACACCTCTCCTGTCCTGCCTGCTGCTCCCTTCAGCCGTTTATTTCAGTAGATCCACCTGTTCTGCTCCCCACTCTGTCTCTGGTGAATCCTCTTATCTCCTACAACTCTGGCTTATACCCCAATTCTTCTATGCATAAATAAAAATACATCTTTAAAAAAACTAAGACTCTTCATTATCCCTCCAAGATGGAGATAAAGTCACTATGTAAACTGTCCAATCCAGTGTCTCCCTATTCTGAGTTCTATATTATTTTCCCTTCTTCCCCACCCTCACATACACAGTAGCTCATTTTACACCTTATAGTAGCTCTTGAAAGTAAACATCTCATTTCTGCAAGAGTAAAATGAGACTCAGAAAGCAGATGTGATAATACAGGGCCACCCAGTTCATGTCCTGTTCATTAAATAACAATATTATTTCTTAAAGACAGATCTCAGGTCACTATCAAACATTTTGAGACTCAAACTTGATAAAATAACCCAGCAACAGTTCTAAGATGCAGGGGAAAATAGTCTGTGCTACATACAAATGGGCTGATATACCAAGTCACAAGGAATGGTAAAACCTCCCATAAAGTCAGTAATAATACGCAGAGCCCCCACTGGTCATATGCCAAGACAGGTGCTCACAGTGTTCAGAAGATGCATGAAGGACTATAGCTATAGTATGTAAAAATAAGAACAAATCTCATTCCCATTCTGAACACCATACTCACCTGCATAATTAAGCTCATCACAGACCAAAAATAGTAAGGGTTTTTGGGGACGATCTTATATAAAGCCATGCCAGCCTGAAAGAGAAAGAACCATAAGTAATTTAGAAAATATACAGAAAGCAATTAATGACCTAGGATATGTGGCAAATTTTCTAGAAAAATACATTTACATGTTCCAGTAAAAGTCCATTGACTTGGATATTCATTATCAGAAAGCAACAGAGGCAATTATGACACTGTACTTCGCGATGTTGGGAATATTTCATCTTTTGAATCAGATTTCTCAAATTAAAGCCTATTATTTCTAGAAAATACTACAATCTACTATAGTGGTGGCAGAAGCCAGGATAATATATTTAAACTTCATTAGACAAGATTACTATTATTTAGCTCAAAGAATAATTTTTAGGTTAGGGAAGAATGGTATCTGGAAATAGCACTATTCAGTATGGTATGTGTAATATACAAGTATCTAAAAGTAGGGACACGGGCCCTTCCTAGTGGCATAACGGGTTAAAGCACAGCACCACGAAGCTACCATCGCCTCTGCAGCAAGAGCTCGATCCCTAGCCAGGTGCAGGGGACCTCTCCTAACCCGCCCGCTGCTCCCCTCAGCAGTGTGCTTCAGTCCATCTGCCTGTTCTGCTCCCCACTCTGTCTCTGGTGAATCCTCTCATTGTCCCTGCACCTCTGGCCTGTACCCCAGTTCTGTATTCATAAATAGATCTTAAAAAAAAAAAAGTAGGGTCATGACCAGATGGAGCAAAATGCATCTAAGTATTTATCTGAGATAAATGGGTAAGAGATTTAATCAATTCTAAACAGGGACAACATGAACAAAATGTTTAAATAATGACAAAAGCAAATAAAATAATGAACACATTAAAGAAAAAGTCCAAGAACGCAGATCAATATAAACAAGTAGAACATTTGGCTAAAACAAAACTAAGAGAAATAGTAAGAAAAAGTCTGAAAGGTAGATTGAGGTGTATTTGAAATCAGTCATCAAAAAATGAGCCTTAAGGAAGTGGCATGTATGAATCTACCTGCTCCTCTACGAAGAGGGTTTTACAGTAGTGCTGAGAATAAAGGATGAAAATAGGTAAACAAATAGGTAAGGTGATAAGGCACCATAAGGATGACAGATCAAACATGAGGAGACCTCAAAGACACGAAAGGTAGAATCGGGCTGACCTGGAGACTGCGCTCCTGGGGTAGGGGGAATCTGAGATGGTTTGAAGTTCCTGCTTTTAACACCAAACTGGAGGGATGCATAAAAACTGTTAGAAAACTAATACTTCTGGATAATTTGGGGAAAGTATTTTTATTACACGCAGAGATAAAAAGGAATAGAACATAAATATAACTTCTTCTATAAAAGGTAAGACAAGATAGCTACTACTATCTTGTAGTAACATTCTGCTAATACAGCAAACTTGGTGACAGACAAGTTTAAAAAATATGGCTGTTAACATGGATGGAGCTGGAAAAGACCATGCTTAGTGAAGTAAGCCAGAAAGAAAAGGAAAAATACCAGATGGTTTCACTCATAGCAGGAGTATAAAGGGCCAGGGGAGAAAATAATAACAACTATATAACAGCTATATACCAGAGACATTTTGTGGGGGTGGAGTGGGGAATGGGATCAAAAACAGTGGGGGGAGGGAAATGCACTGGACCATGGTAATGGCTCACGGGTGATTTGGTGATGGGAAATTCACAGGGATTACAACTGAGATGAGAAAATGCACAAAATGATATAAAATAAACTACTATATTATTTAAAAAATATATCTATGGCTGTAAACTGGTCAGACAATGGGAATGTCACTTACAGGAAAAAAAAAAAACCTAATCACCACGTGAACTCTTCATTCATTCAAGAGATTTTAAGTATAACCTACCAGAGATGTCATTTAGGGCAGTAGAAGTCCTAAAGTTTAAATCCCTGGCTTCCTTTCCTACCTCTACCAGTTTATGCAAATCAGTCCTTTATTTAACTGTTTTATTGTCCAAATGCTATTCAAGTAACTAAGCATTCAGCCATGAACAAAAGCCCTTACTCTCATGAAACATGACGTTTGGTTTGTAAAATACTGATCACCCCAGCTAACATCTCATTTTCAAAAACAAAAAAACATACAGACTAACCTAAAAAAAAAAAAAAAAAAAAAAACTACCTTAAAGTGCCTCCCTGATGACCTAAGGGTTAACTCAGTGCTCTCACTTCTAGGGCCTGAGCTTGATTCCCCAGCTTGGCAATTAACCACGCCCTCCTGCTGCTCTCTCTGGCAGTGTATTTCAGTAGATCCACCTGTTCTGCTCCTCACACTGTCTCTGATGAATCTTCTCGCCCCCACACCTTTAGCCTACACCCCAGTTCCTATATAAAAATAAAAATATTTAAAATAAGATACTTAAAAAAGAAAATAACTACCTTAAGCAGCAACAAAGGTAGAATAAAAATGAAACATTCTAGTCTCAAGTACTTAACACTAGAGTACTCCATTCTTTCAAAACATAAGTGTGGGATAATGCAAAAGAAACAACATAATAAGGAACTTTAAAAACAAACTGCACCACACTGAAGCAATGTCATAAAAAGCATGATACAAGATTTTATATAACTCTGCCAACATGTGATGTTAAGCTATACAAAATAAAATCTGTTCAAATAGCAAATTATTTTTTCCTTCTTTCAAAATGCACTTTAATGTTATTATTGAATGACCTTATGTTAGTGTCCTTTTATGTGTATACATAATATACATATATTTTGTTGGATCATAAAATCAACATATGCTTAAAGGAATGAAAAGTAACCGTGGCCCTTTATAGCCTGATAACATTCTGATATATATCCTTAGGCCTATTATTTTCAATTAAATCCTTTGGAAACACCATGCTATGTCAACAAACAAACACATAGTGCTATTTGGGATGAGGAGCTGCATTTTTTATTTTTTTTTTTTTAAGATTTTATTTATTTATTCATACAGAACTGGGGTACAGGCCAGAGTTGTGGAGGGTGAGAGGCTTCACCAGAGACAGAGTGGGGAGCAGAACAGGCAGATCATGGAAGTACACTGCTGAGGGGAGCAGCAGGCGGGTCAGGAGAGGTCTGCCGCGCCCTGTGGTCACCTCCGGGGCAGGCGGCAATCGAACTCATGCTGAAGCAGCTTTAGATTCTCAGTGCAGTGCTTTAACCCGCTGCGCCACCAGGGAGGGCCCGAGGAGCTGCATTTTAATTTACCACATAGGAAGAACATGGATCCTCTATATGAACCATATTTCTTTATACCCATATTAAAGGACAGTTAATATATGTTGCTTAAAAAAATGTTCCTTTAAGTAAAAATGATATTAAGAATTTACATGTAGATGTTAGTGTTGCCAACTTTTAAGAAATACCCACTTTACATTAATTCATAATAGTTATTATACCCTCCCTAGTTCTCCACTGGCACAATTTTATATTTAAGTAAAAAACCAAAATAAAAATCCAACTAAGAAAGTCTGCCTTTCATTTTAATCACAGACCAAAAAAAAAAAGCATTGCTAAAAAAATACTCACTTGACATAGTAACCTTTATGAGCTTAACAGTACATGTTTCAGTGGGTAAAAGATGTCAGCTATACCCAGCCACTAGTGTAAAACAGTGTCCAAATGAGGCTCCCTCACATGTGTACAAGGAGCATCTAAAAATGTGCTAAATAACAAAGTTATTTCCAGCAAAAAAAAAAAAAAAGTCAGGCATCCCAAGCAATGGGAATTATTCCCCTAGTAACAAAAAATCTCAACAAGCTATACATAGTGAGATGTACAAATTAGATGTAAATTTTAAAGTTAACCTTTCTATTATCAGTTCATATTTTGCTTTGGGATTTGTGCCCATTTTCTGAAAACAGAACATCTATCTGATGCACAGCGACCACATAACTGACTTATCAGAACCAAACAAAACATATCATCAGGCTACAAAAGAACAACAATCAAATTTACCCAAATAAAACATTTTAATAAATAATATGCAAGGGCACACCACACCATACCATACCACACCACACCCCACCCCACCCACACACCACACCACACACAATGCAATTAAGTCACATTAAAGGGACTTTCACCACTAATTGCAAATCCCACAGCCCAGGGAGTTTGGGGATTAGGTTACCTGTTGCATCTTCTTGTATTCACCCACTCTGGCATAGGCCATGAAGAGATGTGAGTGATATTCTTCACTATTGGGAACTTTCTTCACAGCTGCCTCATAAAGTTTTGTAACTAACTCCGCTAAGATAAAAGAGAAATAGGATTTTCTTTAATTATCGATATATAATTTGGACCTGAAGAGCATTTTTAGGGGGGTAGGATGGAGAAGAATTGGATATCGCCATCTTTAAAAAAGGCATTTGTTTTGCCTCATCTGATCATTACTCCTTCTCCTGGTACAGATGAAGTATGATTTTGGTCAGGCCTCCTCATCATATTCAAATATATGAGACCCACAGGATCTAACCTGTCTCCCCAGCTCTGGCCCACAATACTCTGTACTCTAACCACATCAAACTGCTTGTACTTCTGCTAGGATCCACTAGATTCTCCATGCCTTCACTGTTCCTTCTGCCTAGATTCTCCTTTCTTCTCTTTCTACTTAGTGACCATCCTATAATACCCAATTCAAATGTAATACTGTCTGCAAGAACTTCCCTGAACACCATCTCTGCTCCTCTACTCCTATGTGGTCACTGTTTCTCTCTGCCACTTTAATATTTTACATATCCCTTATAGTATTTACGAATACACAGTGCAATACAGTGTCTACTGTTCTATTTCCCCTTAAAGAATGAGTAACATGAGGGCAAAAAGAACATTTCATCTTTGACTCTGATACAATATTTATTATTGAGAAATGTTCATCCAATGCTTGTAGGACAGATAAATAGATTTTTTCTAAGCACTAGAGAAGAATCGATATCCCTCGATCAAAATAATCCTTGAATAAGCAGATATAATACTTCAGCACTTAAGTTTTACAGTAATGAAGAACAAAACTGAACTATAACATTTTTGGCCTATGTTGGCAAATGTTATTTTCTTTTTTCCAGTTTCATGAGGAAAAATTGGCATATAACATTGTATATTTAATAGGTACAATATGGTGGTTTAATCTTAAAGTCTAAGCATACCAAGTGTGTTGTCAAGAATATGAAGCAATCAGAACTTGGCATATTACTAGTGGAAGAGTAAATCGAGAACAAGCTGACACTGTCTTTAAGTTGAATATACATATACCCTACAAACTAACATCTCCAATCCAAAAGTGTAGTCATCACTTTTGTGGAAAATGAATGAATAACTTGGATACTAGATGAAAAATGCAAGTCACAAACCTTTCACAGCATGAACCCATCTATATTAAGTTCAAAATTAAGTAAAAGTAATAATGTATTACTCAGAAGTCAAATGTGATAAGATTTAAAGAAAACCTAGAGAATAAAAAATAATAAAAATAGCAAGTACTTGTTGGGAGGTAAAAGGGGAAATGAGATTGGTATGGAAAACACTGGCAGCCTTCATACCATTGACTATTTTCTAAAGTTGGGTGGTAGGTTCATAAATGTTCATTATCCCACATTACATAAAATATAGTCATCCATAACATCTTATTAATATATCATGCATGTATTATTTTAAAATGAAATACTTAAGAAGTCAACAATGAAACACTGTGAGACAACTGACTTACAGGTGAAAACGACAGATTATCGAAATATGCTTATAAATAACCTGACAGGGAGAGAGACATAAGTAAAAATGGCCATGGGTCAATAAATTGCAGAAGGTATGTAGTGGGTAGAGTGGAATTTATTATACTACTCTGTTTTTGTCTGTGGTTCAGGATATTACAAATATTACAAAGTGGACAAAAGGCAATTCTTTCATTTTAACAAGTCAAAATGAAGCTCAAGCCTCCCTCCAGTTCAAAGGTTCTGCTATATGTAAAATCTCCTCTTTTTCTACAGTCTTCTCATACCACCAGTTTTGCCACTTGCCATTCACTTAAACCATGAGAACTTAATCAGAAATATCCAGTTTAAAACAATGAAAAGAAAAAAACATACGCCGATGCATCTCCCGGTAAAGAATAGTCAGTGCCTGCAGCGAGTTGTCATCTGTGGGTTCAAGGGCCGCCACCTCCTGTGCCAAGGTGAAGGCCTCCTCTTGCTTACCAGTTCTCTGGAAACCAATTGCCTTTAAGACCTGAGAGAAAGGAAAACCGGAGCAGTTTTAAAAGGAAGGAAAAGGAAATTGGAACCAAAGAAAGCTAATTCTAAAAGCACAAGCTGAAGGTATGTCTATGTTGCTGATAACTATTTTATTAAAAACATCAATAAATCAAGGTCTTCCCTATTTCAGTCATATTAATATTCAACATTGCTTAAAAGAACTCTGTAAAATAAATTAAATAATTAAGCTAGATAAGCTATTTACAGCATTCAAGTGGTCAGAAAAATAAATGGCTTAAAACTCTCTGAATAAGACAGTCTCTAAAAAGATGAATTAAACAGCTTTTCCATTTAAATAGTGTAATATATAACCCACAAGTACAGGTAACCCAACACCAAAGGAACAAACAGACTTACCTTAGCACAATGAAGATCTTTGTGCTTCTTCAACAGCTTATCTGCTTGCTGGATTGCCATTTTATTATTACCATTATCGAGATAATCTATAAAAAAAAAAGGAAGCTGAAAACAGGAAATGCACGGACTGGTACATAAAGTATCTGAATTCAATATTAAAAATACCACAAAACTGATTCTGACTCTAATGGCTCAGATGGTAAGGGTACAGTCACAGTCCTACAGTATATGCACACACACTCTAGTATATGTATGCACACACGGTGCGCAGGGTTATATGAGAAATATATATGAGTTATTTCTTGACCAAAAGCAATATAATCCCGTTTTATCTGCCCTTAATGAAGAATGAATTTTAAAAAGGAAGAATGACGGCATTTTTGGCAGTATTTTTGCCAATGGAAAATAATAAAGTTTATTAATAATAAAATAATCAATGTTAATAATAATAATCCGTTATTAAATATTATTAATAATAATAAAATAATAAAGTAAGTCACCCAGTAAGTAATTCAACCAAAAAAAGGGACCCTGTGTAATACTTAAGCTTCAACCCTGACAAATGGACCATGTTTCTTCATAAAGTATATGTCTTGAAGGCCCTCCCAGTTGGCACAAGGGGTTAAAGCACCAATGCAGAATGATTTTGGACCCTGGGCCAGGGAGCTGACCCACAGGGCGCGGCAGACCTCTCCTGGCCCGCCCGCTGCTCCCCTCAGCAGTGGACTTCGTCGATCTGCCTGTTCTGCTCCCCGCTCTGTCCCTGGTGAATCCTCTCACCCTCCGCATCTCTGGCCTGTATGCATAAATAACTCTTTTAAAAATATATATATGTACGGCCCTCCCTGGTGGCGCAGCGGGTTAAAGCACGGCACTGAGAATCTAAAGCCACTTCCGCATGAGTTCGATTCCCGCCTGCCCCGGAGGTGACCACATGGCGCGGCAGACCTCTCCTGACCCCCCGCTGCTCCCCTCAGCAGTGTGCTTCGTCGATCTGCCTGTTCTGTTCCCCGCTCTGTCTCTGGTGAATTCTCTCACCCTCTGCATCTCTGGCCTGTACCCCAGTTCTGTACAAATAAATAAATAAATCTTTAAAAAAAAAAATATATATATATATATGTACTGAGTACATACTTTGCCACAGAGTTAAGTATATTTTGCTGGGGGGAAAAAAAGATTTTACTATAACACTTGGGATGGAGTTAAGGTTCAGTATCATCAAGAGTAGACAAGGACACTCTGGGTAAAATACAATCTAGCACTGACTTTGCTTGAATAAGACTGATTTCTAAGTTCCCTTAGTTATATATTTATTCCAAATTTTAAGAACAATGGGAAACAGCTATAAATATGTGGGGGGGGAGAGGAGGAAGCACTCAAATATTACTCAAAAGTCTAATAAAAGACTCATTTTCAGATTAAAAGATCTATAAGAAAATAAACGTAACTGTGATGGAAAAATGCACGAAATGATGTAAAAATAAACTATGATATTATTACAGAAAATATAGAAATTTAACTGTGTACAGGTCAGGCCGCAACCTGCTACTACTAACATGACAGTCCCAAAGCAACACAGGACAGAGGCGGCCAGACGACAGTGAGCCAACACTGCTGAGAAAGCAGAGCGACAGTAATCTCCTCATGTCGGGAGGACACAGACTGGTTCAGCCACTTCGGAAAGCAGTTTGGTACTTTCTTACAAAGCTACAGTCTGATGACATGACCTAGCAATTGTGTTCCACGGGTCTACCCAAAGTAGGTGAAAACTTACCTCTACCCAAAAACCTATACACAAATGTTACAGCAGCTTTATTCCTAATTGTCAACATTTGGAAGCAACCAAGGTGTCTTTCAAGAGCAAGTGAATAAAACTGTGGAATATTTACACAATGAAATATGATTCAGTGATAAAAAACAAAAAAGCTATCAAGCCTCAAAATAATGAACCTTAAATGCCTATTGCTGAAGAAGTTAGTATGACATGGTTATAAGCTATATGATCCCAATCATAAGAGAGTCTAGAAGAGAAAACAAAGAGTGAAACAATTACTGGTCACCAGGGGTTTAGAGGGAGGTAAGTGGGTAGAACATAGGCAATGAAGCAAACTTGTACAATAATGTAATGATGGTTACGAGTCCTATCTGTCAAACCCAGAGAAATGACGAATCATAAAATGAGCCCAAATGTAAACTAAAGTAAACTGTAAACTTTAGCTAACACTAACATCGAGGTGGCCCTGCAACTTAGCGAACGCACCACACTAATATACTAACGGGAAATGGGGGAGAAAAGGATGGAAATGTAGGGACATACAGAACTCTGTACTTAGCGCTCATTTAGTTTTTAAAGATTTATTTATTTATGCAACAAGACAGGGGTTCAGGCCAGAGGTGCGGAGGGTGAGAGGCTTCACCAGAGACAGAGCAGGGAGCAGAACAGGCAGATCGACGAAGTCCACTGCTGAGGGGAGCAGCGGGCGGGTCAGGAGGGGTCTGCCGCGCCCTGGGGTCAGCTCCCTGGCCAGGCCGGGAATGGAACTCATGCTGACGCGGCTGCGGCTAGCTTCTTTGTGCTGTGCTTTAATCTCCTGCGCCACCAGGAATGGCCCATTTTTCTATAAACCTAAGTTCACGCTAAAAAGTAAAGCCTACTAGTTTTTTAAATGTCTAGTAAAAGCAACAATGCATTCCCAGAAAAGAAAAATGAGAAGTGCTGTAAGTGAGAAGCAAGGAAGTACATGTCAATTCTAAATACAGAAAAAGTGAGACTGAACACAAGCCAGCTCACAATCTACTATCGCTTCGGGCTCCTCTTTACTCATCAAAGTCCCAAATCAGCAAGTGACAAAGGTACAGAAACTAGGTACAGGGGATGCCAAATAACAGAAACTACCAATTTGCCCCAATGACTATTAAAACTTTTAACCAACAACCACATGAACACACAAGTCCAATCTCTCCATTTTTTTTCAATGAGCTTAATAGTGATAAGCACCAATAATGCCAGGGAAAAGCTCAAGAAGCTCAAGCTGGAGAAAATCACAATATAAAAAGGAAAGTTAAAGACCTCGGATAAAGATATTGGAGAATGACAAAAACCTAAAAACATACAATTGTGGCCTGAATATTCAAATATTTGGTTTTTTAAAACCAAACCTCAGTCAATGGGCCCATCATTATTTGTCTTTACAGGATACCTGACAGATAGGTCAGTTCACTAAATGACGTTTCCCTTCCTAATAACTCAACATTGATCTCATTCTGAGTCAGTTCTAGGTTACTTCCGACCCAGTCCATAAGATTCCAGGTTCGGAGCCTCTCTGGTGGCACAGGGGTTAAAGACACAGTGCTATCAAGCTCTCCCCAGTCACTGCAGCACAAGTTCGATCCCCGGCCAGGAGCTGACCCACGTGGCGCGGCAGACCGCTCCTGTGCCGCCCACTGCCCGCCTCAGCAGTGTATTTCAGCCCATCTGCCTAGTCTGATCCCCACTCTGTCTATGGTGAATCCTCTCACCCCTCACACCTCTGGCTAACCCCAGTTCTTGTACACATAAATAATCTTTTTAAAAGAAAGATTCCAGATTCATAGAACATATCTTGACGTCATCTCAGAGGAGACAGACATCTTTGAGGAGGCCCAAATTCTGAGGAGCTGTCCATAATGGATTACACCAGACAGAGGTCATGTGTATAGGGTATTAACTCCTTCCTGTGCAGAAGACAAGGCAGATATACTATTCCTACTGCTGATACCCCCTTCTATGGGATGGTTTCCAGTGCCTCTGCTGAAGGTGAGGGATGGGACGACCACGTAACTGCCGTCCAACAGGGTGGACATCTGACTTAGGGTAAATCAGTTTCCTCCGGAGTTATCTAACTATAACACTGAAAAGGACAGAGTCAGAAAGCTACAGGGAACCTCATTTGGGAGGCAATACATATTTTGAGTCTGAAGTTATCAGTGGCAGCTCCAGAATTTCCATTTTGAAGGCGGATGCAAGCTGGCTGATATGAAGTAAAGGGGTTATCATTTGACTTTTTATTCACATAGCCTATAAAAGAGTCAATTCTCTATCAAAAACTTGGGGGAAGAAGCAGGGGAGACTGAACTGAGGAGAGAAGCTAATGACTGCTCCCTTTTCTAGTACTGCTTAGAGTGGTCTCAAAACAAGTTTGGGACCTGGGTAAACTGATGAGTAATTAGAAAAGACCAGTCTACAGAACCAAGCAAAGAATACAGAGCAAAGCAGAGACGAGTAGCTGAGGAAGCAGCTTCCGTTCCTAAGAGCCTTCTGTTTCACGAGACCCTGGGACACTGCATCCCTGCATGCCCTGGGTTACCAGGGGGTCTTCAGCAGCCCACTCGTGTTTACAGGTTTCGGCTCCTTGGGCCCAGAAGAGTTTTAACCAGGACAGTCCACCACATTCATTTCCACTGTCAGGTTCCCCGTTCCTGGGTGCCTAGGTGACTAATGATTGATAATTGAGTCTTTGGGGAGAAGTTTATTTATTTCATTTTACATTACTTACTACAGAATGAAAGTTATGTAACCCTTGGAGAAAACAGGCCAATTAAAGAGCGATATCCTAGGCCTGTCTTTTTCAGTCAGTCTTCATAAAACTATTTGAGGGTTATTATGGCTTGGCCCTGAGGACTGTGTTGTAACAACTGGAGCAAACCCAAATCACTCATGCCAAAGTGGGCCAAGAAACAATAAGAAACGGTACACAAGATAGGAGAAAGCAGTAAGATATGTCTTCAAAGTATGGGTATCACTCCAATGCTAGTATCTTCAGATGGTCCTTGGGAGACAGCACCAACATTCACAGTGAAAAAGTGATCTCTTTTCTAAATTTTCCTTTAATTAAGGAGATGGTTAGTATAAGCCTGGATATCACTAATACTCGGTAGTATCTTCTTTTTAATAGGAAGGAACAGGTCTCTGACTCAGTTTCACAAGTATCAGACTCTAGTTAAGACTTCAATAACTGCTTCATTTTTCACCGCATTTAGTATTATGTGTGATGCCCCCCAACCCCCACCCCCACCACGGGAAGTGATAAATTTTGCATGAGTGATAGTGATACAGATTATTTTAAATTTAACTTTAAAAGTTAACTAAGGACCTCCCTGATGGCTCAGGGGTAAAGTCTCAGTGCTATCAACAGTCACTGGCTAGCCACTGTGGCCTGAGTCTGACCCACAGGCCAGGGAGTGACCCACATATTGGGCAAGCAGCAGACCTCTCCTGACCCGCCCGCTGCTCCCCTCAGCAGTGGACTTCGTCGATCTGCCTGTTCTGCCCCCTACTCTGTCTCTGGTGAAGCCTCTCACCCCGGCATCTCTGGCCTGCATAAATGAATAAATCTTAAAAAAAAGTCAGTTGAGAGAAAAATAATCCGATTGGGTAAAAGAATGATAGAAATTTGGGAAACACTGGGTTTAATCATTGACAAGAGACTATCAAAATCTGCTGAATAAGTGACCAAGCCACCCTCCTGGTGACACTTCTGACAGAAGCTCCTCGTCCATGCAGTTACAGACAACAGTGGGCCCTGGTACAAGGGATGTATTGTCTGTCTGCCCTGTAGGAAAGGCCCTGGGAGTAATCTGCCCAACCACACTTCGGGATACTGACAGCAGGGGAGGCAGCAGCGTGCAAATAAAAAGGAAGGCCTTTAAGTTTGCTCTCCAGCTGCGAGAGTCTCCAGTTACTGAAATGACAGCCTGTGCAGGCTACTTCCTACAAGAGCTTCAGATACTATTAAAAGATACTGCTGCAATTTAGAAAACAAAACTAAATACAAAATAGCTCCACCTTAAACTACAGCCCTCTCCTTGAAGATTTTAAATGTATAAGAACAGGAACCTTGCTTTTACCAATTCAGACTGTAGGGGAAACATTCTTCCAGTTCACAAGACTGTTAAATACCTACTACGTGTAAGACTGGGGGTTCGAAGGGAGAAGTCCCCTTAAATGACTGTCCCCAACTGAAGGCTCACACCCACACCGGCACTCTTTTACGGTATTTCCCCCACAGTATTAAGAACCCCCTTTTTAAAATGCAAGCTTGATCATCCCACTCCCCTGGTTAAATCTCTGCTGGGCTTCCTAGTGTCTCTTTAAAAACTGCAAATCGTTCCAATGGCTTGCGCGGCTGAGCACACCGACACCCGCCGCCTCATCTCCGCCATCCAGCACCACATTCCAACCACAAGCCTCTTCTAAGTCCTTGCGTCGAACAACCTCCTCATATTCTCTCTTCATCACTCTCTCTCCACCTCCTGGCCTGATAAACCGCTTCCTTCTTTTATGTGCAGAGTAAAACATCACTGCACAGGGAATCTTTTCTTGACTTGTCCCCAGCAGTCGATGACCATACTGCATGATCTCAGGGCAACCTGCATTTGCCTTCAAAGCACTAACACAAATATGTAATGATTCTGTGTAGCACCACTATAAGGGCCTGTGGAGACGACAAACTCCTTGAAAACAGAACCTGTTGTTGAGTGTTCACGCATCCCTAACCTCAACACTGTGCCTCGCACACATTAGGCCAAGAGTAAGTAAGTTTAATAAAGAAACACAAAAACCGTACAAAACTCTAGGAAAAAGTATTCTAGAAATGAACTATCAGAGAAGCGAGAGCTACATACCTATGAGCTGACCACAATAGAAGCCTAACCTAATTAGTAGTGACGACATCCCACAATTAAATTAGACCTTTCAAGAACTCTTGAACAGATTTTTTAAATAACAAAAATAATGTATGTGATGGGGGAAAATTCCTAATAGTTCATAAAAATCTATTTCCTACTTCATAAAAATCATCATCCTATGTTCCTACTGCTCTCGATGCTTTGCATTCTTTTAGGGCTTTTCTGCCCACTAAGTTTTTAATTTTTTTTTTTCAGAACTTTTTTTTTTTTTAATTTATTCATACAGAACTGGAACACAAGCCAGAAGTGCAGGCGCGGTAAGAGGACTCCTCAGAGACAGAGCGGGGAGCAGAACAGGCTGACTGACAAAGTCCACTGCAGAGGGGGGCAGCGGGCGGGTCAGGAGAGGTCTGCCGCGCCCTGTGGCTCTCAAGTGGCTCTCCTCGGGGCAGGCGGGGATCGAACTCCTGCGGAAGTGGCTTTAGCTTTCCTAGTGCTGTGCTTTAGCCCACTGTACCACCAGGGAGGGTTTATAAATGGTGAAAATTTCAGAAAAGAGGAAAATAACTTGTGCCAAGTGACTTTTTTATAAAAAGGTAAAATTGTCTTCACTCATCATGATGTCCTGCCAATTCTGGGGACAGGACAAGACCTGTCAGGACAAGACAGAGCTAACACTGCCCAACAGTGGCACGGGACTCAGGATAAATAGCACATCTGATTGATGACAGGAGTTTTTACTAATGAACTACACTGGAGTAAGTACTTGCAGTTTAACCAGGCACCAAAGGGAAATGTCCTAACTCACTGAAGAAGTGATTATCACTCAGGAAACACAGCTGGGAAATGTGTTATACCTAACTCAGACGAGAGCCAGGCTGCAAGTCGGTAAAACAGGACAAAAACCGAGTCAGCAATGTGAGTGTGTACGAATGGATGTGTACTCGTGTATTCTAAAGACTATGGGGATATTTTTTTCTTGAAATATCTTTTTCTATTCTGAAATCGCTGACCTACAGGAACTACAATTCCTATATTCTATACAAATTTATTTAGTGCCATACGTGATCACTATTTCCACCCCTCCCATCCCCCTAGCCACTGAAAACAATTAAAAATTATTAATAATGGTAGAAGAAACCACTGGTGCTCACCAAGTCACATAAGAGTACAAAACCTGTTAAGAACCACATAGCATGAACAAAATGATGTAAAAATAAACTATTTTATACAAATAAATAGGTTACTAAAATAAAAAAAACACACATAGCGGCCCTCCCTGGTGGCACAGAGGGTCAGGACGCAGCACCGCAAGCGAGGCACAGCCGCTTCAGTGCGAGTTCGATCCCCGCCTGCCCCGGAGGTGACCACATGGCGTGGCTGACCTCTCCTGACCCGTCCGCTGCTCCCCTCAGCAGTGTGCTTCATTGATCTGCCTGTTCTGCTCCCCGCTCTGTCGCTGGTGAATGCTCTCACCACCCTGCACCTCTGACTTATACCCCAGTTCTGTATACGTAATAAATACATCTTTAAAAAAGAAAAAAAAAAAAAGAATCACATAGCACAAGAGAATAACTCTAGCAAAGAGAGAATAATAAAGAGGTGTTCTACTAAGGTCAGATGGTTGTCGCAAACCAAAAGAGCAATGCCCAACTTAGCAATTTATGAAAAAAGGCACTGTGAAGGTCTTTCAACTAATCAAACTGCTGCACAAAAGCTGTTCCAAGCATGAACACCAAAAATAGAATTTCAAGCCACCCCAATTTCACAATCATCCAGATCACTCCTACCCTCAACAAGTCAGTAAGAGCTGAGGTCACTGGCAAGGTTTCCAAAGGTCGTAAAACCCGAACTCTCTGGCAGTCAGTCCAAGTAACCGTCCAGCGGCTGCATCTGACACTCAGGAAGGGCTGGGGCTCTCCAGGGAGCAGGCCTGCCTTCAAATCTCAGCTCTACAGCGTACTGCCTGCAACTCGGAGCAAGTTTCCTCTGGCCTGAGGTTCACTATGATCATGTCACCCACCCGAAAGGATAAACTGTCCTTGGGCTTTTGGCTGGTTGTGGGTGACAGGCACCACCACATGAGAGCTTGGTCCTGTGTGCTAACGAACGTGTGAATTCAAGGAACAGTGGCTGGCACTAAACAACAAAAGCTGGGGTGCACCGACGTCTGTGTGTCAAAAGTACTAAGAACAGTCTGTGCCCTTTCTTGTCCTATTCCTGCCGGTGTTTATTACATCTCCTTGGGTCCCTACAGAAAGGCTCCTCTAATCCTCTTCCCATGTAACCAGAACAAAAGCGACATAATTCTGGTTTGAGTCTTGAGACCGTGTCTGACATGTCATGTCAGGTTAATATATCCTTATATTTAGTGATACGAAATGGCCAAGTTTTTTTTTTCTTATCGGATAGTTCAAAATTAACTCTAAATGATTTATGGAGCACCAAAGGCATTTTCTTTGGTCAAGAAAAATTTCGGAAATCCAATTATTGCTAGGAATACTGAATCACTGAGATGGAAAAATGCACAGAATAATGTAAAAATAAATCATTATATAAAACAGAGTACTGGATCTTATTTGATTAATCAAAAACATGTCTTTATGGGGCCACCCTGGTGGTATAAGGGGTGAAGTCTCAGCACTATGAAGCCATGTGCAGCCACTGCAGCAAGAGCTGGATTCCCTGCGAGGGCCGGGGAGGGACCCACCGGCGCAGCAGACCTCTCCTGTCTCACCCGCTGCTCCCTCAGCAGTGGGTTTCAGTCAGTCCCCACTCTGCTCCCCACTTTGTGCCTAGTGAATCCTTTCACCACCCCACCCCAGTCCCCTGCACCTCTGGCCTGTACCCCAGCTCTTGTATGCAGCAATAAATAAAATTTAGAAGAAAACATATTTGCATGCAGCTTCTGCACAAGCTACGTAACAAGCACAAACTGTGAACGCCTCACTGTGTATGGACCTGGGTGTCCGTCCACTACCACGCTTGTGTCCTGTACCCCCCTGCCCTCTGAACACAGCTGGAGGGCATGGGGGTATGCAGCCCTGGAAAATGGAAATCAGAGTCCCCTCTCGGTCACTTACCACCTGTGAGACTCTGGCAAGTCAGGTGGAAGTGAAATGGTGTCTGGCCTAATGGTGAAGGGTGAGTCTGTTACGGTTCCCGCTTCAAGCCCTAGCTCCAACAAGCGTTGGCTGTGCCACCTTAGACAAACGAAACAAAGAAGGAAGCTCCACTTTCCTCATCTGTAGGGAATGAAGAGAGAACTGGAAAGAAAAGATGCCCATTGTGATTATCTGTGAAGATGAAATGCGGGAACTCACACCAGGGCCTAGTGAATGACCCAGTAGCTGTTACTGCTGCTGCCCCGGTCAGCGGGGATGGAGGGAGCGCAAACCTGAAGCGAAGGCAGGGCTGCTGCTCCGGAGTGTCCCCCGCCCTTGAAAAGCTGAATTTGTCTCACCACGTGGGGAAAGAAGCTCCACTGAGCTACACGCACACGACGGAACCGACACCGGGTTTAATTCTGCAAACCGGCGACCTTGGAGCCTCCTCGCCATGGAGAGCGGCCAGGAACACACGACCGTCCATCGGGGAAGGACACGGGCCGC